TAAAAAATGTTTATCATCTTTCAATGTGGAGTCTCGTTTCACCAATTCCTCCCAGTGGTTGGAAAGTTCTACAGATGAGGATGTTTTTCACATCTGCTGTGAAGTGACTCAGAAGAACAAGGGACAATGCTGTCATAGAAATCTTTGTCAAGTCAACCACCCCCTCAGAAAGCCGATTCAACTCATTCAACAATACAAGAGATGTCTGAGATATGGTTGAGACGACCCAGCAACACGAGGCCAGAAGAACAAACAACCTGAAACTAGAAATTCCACATTTTCCCCGCAAAAAAGCTTCACAGACCATTATGTCTCTTTTCAAACAGCTGTTCCTTATCTAGACTATGGTACCTGAAGAAAGTACAGGCATCAGTTACAAGTGAGTAATTTCCTGTATCGGCTGATAATGTATACTACAAATATATTTAATTGTTTGTACATAATATTGTAAATGTGAACGTTAAAGTGGATGAATGGATGGATGGATGTCTGTTAGGGACAATAATAGTCATGGCATCGAAGAGAGAGAGAAGTCTTCTAAGAAACAAGAGAGATTAAACAGCCTATTCCAACTGAGTCACCTGAGAAGCGAGCTTTGGTAATCAGACGAACTCTAGTCGAGTAGATGGTGGTAGATGGTGGTGGTGGGGGGTAGGTCGGGTTTTCACAGCATCTGTCTGCATTCCTTCGTGGGGGGTTTGTTGTTGGCATCTCAAGGCTGCCATGGCGTCAGATTCTGATAACAAGACTTTGTTTTGGTCAGGCTGAGATAATTTTGCCCTCTGCCTTCAGTCTGTAACTGATCATTCAAGTCCTCCAGTGAAGCCAATTTAGGTTTTAAACATCTCCACACCGTCCAGTGACCCTCTCCGAGATGACATCCATTTTGCACACTAACTTCGGTATCGCAGCTAGAACATTGTCCAGCTTGCGATTCACCTCAAGTAGCATCCCAGTCTGTGAGGTCTCCACAAGGACGGTGCTCTCCGTGGGTGCGGGTCGCCCTCCAATCGCTCCCGTCTTCCCAAATTTCCAGGAAACCAGACATCGTTCCACTCCAATCAGAAGAAATCCAGTGATCATCAGGCCAAACATCCACACGTCTACGACGTCCTCAATGAACGGCTGGGAGAGGCATACGATCTTCCACTATTTCCAGGAATCCATCATATATCCTGCCGGGTGTGTCCTTTGCGGGCAAGTGGGAGCCCCCTGCTCCGTTCTCATTGTTGAAAAAATCTTATCAATTGCGTTGAATGACCAATTTATCAAATTCATTCCTAAAAAATAGGGTTTTCCTCACATACATAGAGTATGTGAGGATCTGTCAAAATGTCTGAAATGTCATATCCCAACTTCCCCTTCTCTTTGTTTACTGGGGAAGCTGGACGATGTCCCAATTGCAACATCTTTGGTTCACGTGGTTCTGACTGCCATATGCATTGCTAAGAAAACTATCCTCTTGAATTGGAAAAATAGAGAAAGTCTCTGCATTAACCAGTATAGAAATCTTTTGTTAGATCATATTGCACTTGATATAGCCTCTGCTTCCACTTCAGATGAATCTCTCTGGGCTCCTTTGATCGGTTCCATCACATAGCAATGGTGGGGGGCCGTTGATGTTGTCCTGCAGGATGATGTGGGTGGGGGGGTGTGGGGTCTGAGTTTGGAGTATCCGGATGTTCCCTGGAGGTGGGTTCACTGGGGGTGTCTGGGACTGGGGGGCCGTTGCCCCCCTCTGGAGGTGCTTGGGTTGCCTCGGGGGGTGGACTGCTGGCGGTTGTGAGTAGGGCCTCTTGGGGATCTTGGCGGAGGCCATGGGTCACTGCCTGGCGGCTGCAATGTCCCTGGGCAGGTCTAGGTGGGGGCCTGGGGGCTCGGGGTTTGGGGGTGGCCGGCCCCGTGTGGGGATCTGGGTGGGGCCTTGGGTGTCGGGTCCTGACATGTATGCTGCCGGGAAGAAGGCAGGGACACCAAGCAGTGCCTGGCCCGGGTTCGGGGGCCTCAGGTAGGCCTTGGCTCCTCTGCCGTTCCATCACAGGGGAGGGGGAGGTCCAGGAGGGGGAGGACCCAACCTTACCTGGATGTCCCATGTCTTATATATTCTGGAAGTTGTGCAAATGCAGGGGTGGGCATAGATATTCTGCTGGGGTGGGGCTGGGTTGGTGCCCTCGGACTCCGTGAGGCTCTGTAATGCTGCTGCTTTGGGCCCTGGCAGGATGGGCTGGGGTCTCCATGCCCTGGGTGGCAGTTTGACAACAGAGGTGCCTATTGGGGCCAGTAGGGGAGCTGGCTCCCTGGAGGGCTAAGCCCAACCAGCCATTCCTCCCCATCCCCGTATATTTCTCTCCTTCTGCTCCCTCACATCATCACACAAACATACACATAGGACCTTGGGGGGTGGGCAAGTCAGGGAGTGTAGGTATGGACCCCATTTCCGCATTCCTGTGGAAACCTGCCCCCCAATTTTATTTGCACCTTATACACTTCCACTGACGACATTCCACACAAACACACACTTAGGGCCTTGGGAGTGAGCACATTCAACAGCATTTGATAGGGGGATATTTCAGCCTCCTCCCGAGGGCCGGTGCCCACTTCCAATTTTAAACTGCACTTAGACACTGATGGCTGAGGGTGTAAGTGGGGTGGTGCGGTGGCATCAGCTGGCATATGCTGGATGATGCCCGCACTGCCCACTCACCACAGCCATGGAATACACCTCATGATCACACAAACACTATATTGGAGCAGGCGGAGGGAGACTAGGGGTCTTAGCCACCTCTGTTGTTGCTAGGCTTGCTGGGGTTGGAGGCTAGGAGGGAGATCTGGCCGTCTGGTTGGGGTCTGGGGTGGTGGGTTGCTGTGCTCAGTGTTGGGCGGGGGAGCCTGCTCATCAGCACCCCAGCAGAAAGGGTCAAACTCTGGTTACCGGTGATGGTTGTACCCAATGTGCAGCAGTACCGGGACCAGAGTGAATAGGGTGTGTATGGGGAGCATGAGTGGGTGTCCGGCGTGCATTTTTGTAAGTCTTGGGTTGTATGTGCATGTGTGAGCATGAGGGAGGGAGCGTGTGACTGTGTTTGTGTATGACTGTATATGTCAGGTGGGGCCTTTGGGTCCTCCCCTCTCCTGGAACTTCTCTTGATGATATAGATCTCTGTCCCCCCTCCCCCTGCCACACCTGGTGTGGGGGCTTGTGCCTTGGTCTGCCTGAGTGTTCGGGGCAACCGGGTCTGGGGGTTTAAGATTTTGGCATCTGCCTGTTAGATCCCGGTGGCTGCCTGGTGGGGTCTGGGTCCCTGGGCTCTGCTGGGTCCCCGGCGGGGGTGGTCGCCCCTGGGTCCCGGGTCGCTGGGTCCCGGGCTCGGCCGGCTAGGGGGTGGGAGGCTGCGGGCGGGCCTGTGGGCTTGCCGCTGATATCTCCGGGGACTCTGCCGGCTGCTGGTTGTGGCCCCCCGGGGCGATCCTCTGTGCCTCTCGAGGGGGGCGGGGGCCTTCCCAGTCTCCTTGGGGTTCCTGTGTTCTGGTGCAGCGCCTGGATCTCTGGGACTTGGAGCTCTCCCCGTCTCCTGCGCATCTTTGGGGGGCAGATCTGTGGTCCCTCACACTCTCTGTTGGGCGCTCCTATAGAAAAACCTTAAATAAATCAGCGCGTGTACACACACAGGTGCTCACATGGTGCTCTCAAAAGTATGGGCTTGGGCAAGTTAAACACAGGTCTTAAGACTATGGTGGGCACTTAATGTGTTGTGATTTATTATCGTGATTCTTCAGTTAAGCAATGTTGATTATATATAAATATATATTTTTTCTTTTAATCAAGTTGACGCAGTGATAGGTAGATCTTGTTGTATTGTTGTTGTGTCCTTTTTTTTGTGTCCCTTTGTTTTTTTTAATCTTTTTTCTGCAGGTCTGGAAGCAGACTCTTGTTCATTATGGTTTGTTTTTGTGGAACCCCCCCCCCTCTCTCTCTCCCCACCTTTTCTTTTCCTCTCTCTTTCACCTCTGTCTCCGTGTCTGGTCGGAATCACAAAGCATTCAACAACAATAACAATAAAGTTTTAAGTATCAGGCGTGACATTAAAAGCAAATGCTTTGATGCTCCACCTGAGAGTAAATCTGTAAGGCTTGTCACCAGCATTCAGACATCAATTCTGCTTGCTTCACAGCCAGACAGGACACGGTAAAAAAATAAATAAATAAATAAATAAATAAATAAAAGGTTTTTTCAGAAGATGTGCAGAGAAGCACTCTTTGGGTAGACAGGACAAAGAGCCTTGGGAAAAAAGATAAGGGAGCAAAAAGAGAAGCGTCTGTTCTCTGCGAGTGCCGGAAAAGAAGTGAATATATATATTCAAAGAAAGAAAAGAAAAGATTATATATATATATATATATATATATATATATATATATATATATATATATATATATATATATATATATAGAGAGAGAGAGAGAGAGAGAGAGAGAGAGAGAGAGAGAGAGAGAGAGAGAGAGAGAGAGAGAGAGAGAGAGAGACACAGAGAGACAGAGAGAGAGATAATTTCACGTAGCATTCATGGACTCGTTAATCTTGACTCACGACAGGGAATGCTGTTGTTGGTTTAGGGTATCCAACAGTCTAAGCTAACCGTTAGCATTAGCTACTTCAGGCCAATCCTCAACTCTGATGTGGCTCATTTCTACTTCCTGAAACTGTTCCTGAACTCTGTTTCCCCAGAGTACGACTTACAAGGCTTCATTACTACTAGAGACCACTGCAAATGTATTGATTAAACAAGGGATCCCCATATTTAAAGAGCTCATAACAAAGTTAGATGGTTGAATTGTTTCAGAGTTCTTGAGCTGCTAATGACCTCTGACAAATAACTAGATGCTGTCAAGTGCTTAATTAGTAATTGTTCAAAAATATATCTATTTCTGTCAAGCTTTTAAACACCATTGTTGTTATTGTTTTATCTGAAGATCTGAATAAAGATGTACTGAGGGAGAGAATGCATTCATCTAGAAAACATTTAGTAATTATTTAAAGATGCAAGCCTTAATAAACTTTAGTTGTTTTATTGCACAAATAAATTAATGCATGAGAGCGCTTCAATGCAGAAACCACACAAAGACATTCTGTTTTACAATGAGTTCAAACATTATAAATTAAAAAAACATAAATACTTATTTACACATTCAAAGTGTTTGTGTTGATATATTTTGAAAATAAATATAACAATAAATATATAAATAATGCAAAACATTGTGGACTTCATGCAGTTTAAGATGACTTTTGAATTAGCTATCTATCTATGCATCCACTAAGACACAAAAGTTACATCCATATAAACACACATCTTTAGTTTTCTTTTCCCTCTTTTGCTGTTTGTCAGTATGAAAAGCAAAGCACAGCTTGGGTTAGACAAGTTGACTTGAAGGTGATCAGCCAGGTAGACAGTCTTCGCTAAGAGACACTCAAATCATGGAGTTCTTCAGTCTGTCAAAGATCTGTTGGACTTTGATAGCAGGGACACAGCCTTCTCTCACAATGGTGATGACTCCTGAACGAAGGTTAGAAGAGCTTCAGTTAGAAACTTGACCTTAAACAGCCCCAGTAGGAAGAAATCATGGCCCCTTACCTTCATCAATCCTCAGGCAGTTGACCACAGTTGAAGCAACTACTTCATTCGAGTCACCATCACAAAGTACTCCTTGGATCTTGTGTCCCAGTCGACTGCAGCAAAAGAAGCAGTTTGAAACAGTAATTAGTGTATGGTGCTAAAAGTGTTAGAGATGTGTTGTTTGTTAGTTTGCATTAAACTTCTTTGAGGAGACTCTTACTTAATGACCATGCTGTGGTGGGTGCTGTCTGATTCTCCACTGGGATTGGCTGATGTTATGGCCAGGGGTCCAGTGATGTCACATAGGTGGCAGGTCACGGTGTGGTCTGGGACACGGATCATGATGCTGTCTCTGGTACCAACACGGTCAGAAGCAGGTCCAACTCCTACAGAAATGAGGTTAAAGTTCACGTAAAAACTGAATACTGATACAGAATTCTGCCACTCAACATTCAAACACTCTACACTGCTGACCTAGTCTGTAAAGCCAGTCTCCTTTGCTGACAATGCAGCTGATGCCTCCAGGATACACATTCCTCATGAACTCCCACAGCAGAGGGCTGAAAGGAGGCCTGGCTGCAACCAGCTGTTCCACACTGGAGATGCAAATGCATATAGGCTTCTCTGCAGGTCTGTCCTGCAAAAGGTCCAATTCAACAAGATGGTGACTTCATGAAAATGTATATTGCTGTTAAACAAGCCTCCTCTATCTTCTTACTTTAATGTTGTAGATTTTTTCTATCGCCTGAGGATTCTTGCAGGAAGCAGCCAGAGCGTACACAGTATCTGTGGGAATACCACACACACCCCCGTCCTCGAGAAGTCGAGCTATCTTCAACAGACCGCTGGTGAGACGCGAGCTAGCCACCGGACAGGACGGCTCGTCACAAGCTTCCTGTTTCACTTTTTCCTAAAACAACACACACACACATTTTTATTAATTATTCATGCTGATTCTTAAAGGTAGGCCAATCTAAACTTCAGTCATTACCTTTATTATGGGAGGACCCATTGGGATCACTCTTTGTGAGAAGATGCAGTTCATCAGTGAAGCCAAGGTGCCATAAAAGCAAATGATGGATACCAATGCAAGCATGGCAACTGCAATACATCGTTTCTGGATGTTAGACTTTATTTGTTCTGATGAGAGTCAGTATGGTAAATACATAAAGTTTATAACAGGCGGTTTTAACTCACTTTCAAGTTGGTATGGAAGTCTGTGCAGGGTGGAGAGAAGGAAGCAGACAAGAACAACCTCCATGATTGTTGTTAGAAACAACAGAACCACGTTCCTATACGCACCTAAAATTAGAAACAAAAGTACAAAATTATGAATGAATAAAAACTGTGAATTCCAGCGCTGAAAGCAGATACTAGACCTTACCAATCAGCATGAGGAAGGCATTAATGACCAGTAAAGCAACGCCTCCAGCTGTGAATCCATAGGCTGCCAGGACGGGGAGCTGAAGCTGAAAACCTGTAGAACAATAACTCCTGATGAGAATATTGTTCAAATCAGTCAGAAAAAATGTATTTTGCTCATACTTTATGCTGACATACCTGCAAATCGAAACCACGTCCAAGTTGCCCATACAACCACGTAGATGGATGAGATGACTGATCCAAACCGGCCCTCTCCGGTGACTTGTAGCCTGCTGACATAGGTCTGAATGATGCCTCCAGAGATGAGGACCCAGGGGACAGTCAGATGAAGGAATGAAGGGTTCCCACTTGACACTTCTGAATGAAGAGCTGAAAGTGCTGAAACCCCGTTGGTGAGATAAAACAGAGCATCTGAGGCCTGGTCACTGTTGGGCAGCTCTTTTTGTTCTCCCTGTTGAGATCTTCTACACATCAGAGCTCTCTTCAGCTGCTCGGAGGAGACCGGCTGTGGTCCCACAGGGATTAGAGACTTCTCTGCGATGGTGTTTATGAGGCGTGAGAAGGTACCGTAGACTGAGACTGCAGTGAAGAGAGAGCAGGCTACACCAAAGAAGATGTAGTAACCCTGCAGGGGGATCTGGGGGATTGTTGAGACTGTGATCAGAACAAAGAGCAAGTTGTGGATCAGCTCCAGAGTGTCCATGTTCAGGCTTCCCACACAGAGCACCAAGCCAGCCACCACAAAGAACCAGTCTCCCACCATGGCTTCCCTACCAGCAACAACTTGACTGTGCTCCACAATCAGGGCAGATGCCACAAACTCATCCCAAGCCTTGATCAGCCAATACATGGCATGAATCCCAAATTTTGTAGTGTGGTAGCTATCCTGGCGCAAATGAGCGTAGTAGCTGGAGAACAGCTGGGCGACTGAGATGATTGATACCCATGCAACTCCTAAACCAAACGATTTCATGTACCCAAAGCTGTAGAAGGCAACGATGAAGGGAGCAATAGAGTCACAGAAGAATCCCAAGGCCATGGGCTCTGCATATTTTGTGTTCTTCTTCTTCTCTTGACCAGGTTTCTGAGCACCTGTTGAGTTGGTGGTTCCTAGCAGGAGAACATTAAAGAGGGGGGTCCCAAAGCCTTTAAGAACCAGACGTTGAGTCAGCCCTTTGATGAGTAGAGCAGCTGAACCATAGATGGCAAAGATCAAAATGAGCAGCTCCATAACCCCAGAGACCACCAGAGCCCAAGGGCCTGTCACCAGAGCTGCTGCTTCAAAGATCAAAGTGGCCGTGATGGCTCCAAAAACAAAAGGCATGATGTAGTTGACCGTGGCAGAGCAAAATGCCAGGATAAAGGACAGAAGGATATAAGGGATCAGACCAGCAATGGCTGACTCTTCTATGGACACACATAAGTGGCACTGTGTTGAGTTTTGAAGAGAAGTGTTGACCATCATGTTGGTGGTTGAACCATTGAACATGTGCTCTGACACTGATGGTATAGTCTGATTGTTAAATAAAGCACCATAGTAGATTCTGGTCGCCCCATAGCTACCCCAAAGGGCAGCGTAGCCGATGAAGGCAGTGCCACTCAGGTGATCGTACTTTCTAAAGGAGAGCAGTCCAGCCACCAGCTGGCACAAACCACCAATCAGGATGAGATGAACACCTGGAAGAAGTGTTAGAAACTGCTGTAAGCCACCTTCACAGGTTTATACATGAATAGATATTTGTGTTTATGTCAAGAGTTTTACCTGCAAGTATGTTCTCCACTCCAACTGGTTTAATGCCAGTGTGAGCTGTGCTGAAGTTCTGTAGAAGTACAAGGAATGCACTGATCCCATTGGATAACATTCCTAACACTCCTGGTTCTCCATAGAAACTGGCAGGAAAACCGTTTGAGGCTGCCATGGTGTTTCTGTAGACAATACAGTCAGTACAGGTAACATAAGATAAAAGTCTAAAATGGTAATCCTCAACAACAACATTTATATATGAATTTTAATATGACTGTATTATATAATATAATACAATATAATATAATATAATATAATATAATATAATATAATACAAAACGGTCCTTGCCTGTCATAAGTAGGCTGAGCCACTCTTGTCATGTAACTAATGTAAAAGTCATTTATTACGACGCTCCTCTAACAGGCTCTCTGAAGAGGAAGAATTTATTCTAAAAGAAAACAATTTTATCAATAGAATAATGCCCCTAACATTACTGTTATTTTCATGTTGTTGAAAAACTACAGGATATTGCAATAATAGTTTTAATATTTATTAATAAACTCTTGTCAGGGAGCATCCTTTATGCAGATTTAGGTCTGATTCAATCTACAAAGCAGAGTATATAATAATCTAGCTATAGGTTTAAGGATCTTTGATGGGTGACACGCAGAAACAAAATATTTACTCCTGTTAGCAATTAAATAAAGAGCAAAGTTTTACCTGTTGAAGTTGTTCAGACTGATGGAAAGCTGAGTTGTGCTGAAGGAGGGACGAAGGTTTGCCTTAAATATGATCTGTTTGTGTAAAGGAGGAGTTACTGAGAATTCCCCACTCTGTCACACAGCAGCATACTTACAGGTGACATCACTGCCTTTCACTTTACACAAAAGTGGCTTTTCCTCCTTCTTTCTCCTTCCTCCCCCTCAAGGCTATTGATGATGGTGAACGTTACACCACAGATAATGACCCGGGTGGAAAAGCCTCATTCTGATGTGATGCAGGATTGCAAAAGGAACCTGCCCTTCCTGCTCCTTTGGTGTTTCCGGTCATTGTAAGTCCTGGACTATATAAGGCAGGTGGATTTTCAGCCACAAAAGCATCAGCATCCTTCACTGCTCAGCTGCTGCATCCAAGAGAAACAAGAAACAAGATCATTGTGACAGAAAGTTGAAGTCATGTTCTCCACGCTACAGGTAAGATTACAGACATATTTATGCTTTTAGTCAGTTTTCAGACTCTAAAAGTGATGGTTTTAAGTCCTTTTCAAATAAAGAAGTCATAAAAATATCTAAAAGTAGAGGTTTGTAGTGCGGCCAAGGCAGGGAACTATAAAATAACTCCTGCTAATTGTTGAGGAGAACACTCATGCTGGGAAACACCTGTTACACCTCTACACTGGCTCTTTCAAACACAAACATTAGATTAAAGACGTGAACAAGTAAATGCAGGAACTCATCAGCCTGTAGTCATCCTGAGATGTGAAAAATAACTAAAATGCTTTGTTCTGATTTATGTTTTGTCCCAAAGAAAACCATCAGACCAGTGCGGGCTGCCAGAAGACTGCATAACACTGCAAACAGATATGCTGACTTTGATTAAAAATAATAATAATAACCTTAATTAATAACCTTTATTAAACAACTTTATCTTTTCATTCCTGCAGTCCAGAAGCACCCAGCCCCAGAAGATACGGTCACAGCCAGTTTTGGGAAGTTCATCAGTGAAATAAAGCCTCAGCATTTGTCTCCGGTTGTGCTCCATCGCAGCAAAAGGATGGTGCTGGACAGCATCGGGGTCGGACTGATAGGGAGCAGGACAGATGTGTTTGAGCTGGCTCTTCAGTTCTGCCAGGTGAGGCAAAGTGAAAGTCTGAGTCAGGTCCAACCCAAATGTGTCCAGAACAGATGAGTGAATGTAGGGTTGTTTCTGTGTTTGTTCTTAGCACATGTATGCTCCGGATCACATCAGCTCTGTGTACGGACGCAGAGGGATCAGACTCTCCCCAACACTGGCAGCTTTCGTTAATGGAGTAGCGGTGAGAAACATAAGTGGAAAACAACCATATATAAATAACCACATAAACATCAGTGGAAACATTTTGTATAAACAGCTTTTCTCAGCTGTTGGTGCAGCGTGGCTCCCAAAGACCACAGGGTTAGGATATAGAAATAAAATCAGCTGAGCTGGCCTTAAAGTTTCCCATCAAACATTTCCAAAGAAGCTACTTTCTTCCCCCTCGATGGCTGGATTTAGGAATGAAAGTCATTTTTCTTTTGAAAACACACCAGGAACAGAAAACATGTCAGTGTTCACTTCAGAAAAAAAAATCATAAAGAAGTGGATCATTCAGACACGGCACAGGCAAGGAGTTCATAGCTGGGTTCTGATCTAGTAATGACCCTCACAGAAAAAGTTATTATTCTGACTCCTTTCAGCTTCAGTATGATGAGACACAAACTCTGGTTGCTTCCAGACTCATTCCATGGACGTTGACGACACGTGGCATCCAGCCACTCATCCCTCAGGAGCTGTTCTCCCAGCTTTGTTTGCTCTCAGTGACATGATGCCGGCTAACAGCAAACCAAGCGGTCTGGACTTCTTACTGGCCTTCAATGTCGGCATTGAGATCCAGGGCCGTCTGATGAGGTTCTCTAATGAAGCACGCAGCATTCCCAAGAGGTCAGTGCCTCACAGCACAAGTCAAGCTTGAACCAGAAAGTCTGATTTTAGCACGATCTTCATGAACACGTTCGTTTAAAGACGTCCTTGTTTGACTGTGCTGATCTCAGCACTGAGGTGTAAGAGGCTGTTTTAGTGATGTCAGTGTAATGATGCTTACTGTAGGAACAGCAGGGGCTCTTGGTGTAACGTTAACAGAATTAGCACAAACCAAACCCTTCATCTGGTGGGTGTTTTAGAAACTCAGGTGACCTGAAACGAGTCAAATCAATTAATCTTGTTCTAAAGATTCAACCAATAGAAACGTTCTTAAGTGGTGATGCAGATCAGTGATTGTTTCAGTTACAACAGAATAAATGTCCTAAATGAACTGTGTGTGTGTGTGTGTGTGTGTGTGTGTGTGTGTGTGTGTGTGTGTGTGTGTGTGTGTGTGTGTGTGTGTGTGTGTGTGTGTGAACAGGTTCCATCCTCCCACTGTGGTGGGTCCTATGGGAAGTGCAGCAGCCTGTTCTCGTCTCCTGTCTCTGGATCCGTCTCAGTGCAGTCATGCCTTGGCTATAGCAGCTTCTCTAGCTGGAGCTCCAATGGCTAATGCTGCCACTCAGTCCAAGCCCCTTCACATCGGCAACGCCTCTCGTTTGGGACTTGAAGCTGCTCTGCTGGCCTCCAGAGGCCTAGAGGCCAGTCCTCTGGTCTTGGATGCTGTTGCAGGAGTGGCGGGCTTCAGCGCCTTTTATGAAGATTATGTTCCTCAGCCTTTAGAGTCACCTGATGGTGGTGGACATGTGTTCCCTTTAGAGGAGCAGGACATGGCTTTTAAGCGTTTTCCTGCTCATCTGGGGATGCACTGGGTAGCTGATGCTGCAGCTGCGGTCCATGAGCTCCTTGTGGGACATGGTCTAGGACAGGTGTCCCCACATCAGGTCCAGGACATCCTGCTCAGAGTCCCCCAGTCTAAATACATCAACAGGCCTTTTCCCGAGTCAGAGCACGAGGCACGCCACTCCTTCCAGTTTAACGCCTGCAGCGCTCTGCTGGACGGTGAGGTGACCGTGCAGTCCTTCAGCCCGCCCGCCATGAGCCGCCCAGAGCTGCAATTCCTGCTGAGCCGTGTTCGCATGGAGCATCCTGAGGACAACCCCGCCAATTTCAACCGCATGTACGGAGAAGTCCAGGTGACTCTAGTTGGAGGAGACATCCTGAAGGGCCGCTGTGACACCTTCTACAGCCACTGGCGCAACCCGCTGACAAACGAGAGCCTGAGCAAGAAGTTCAGAAGCAACGCAGAGGTGGTGCTGCCATCAGAGAAGGTGGAGCGGCTTGTGGAGGTGGTGGAGGAGCTGGGCAGGCTGGATGATTGTGGAGCTCTTCTCTCACAGCTGCAGTGATCAATTACACTGAACAATAAAGCAACAATCCTTCAGCATAGAAATAAGAATAATATTATTTTTATATTAATGTTCTGAAATGATCTGCTTAGTGTAGACTGGAAATAAACACATTGTCATGTTTTTCCTCTGGAATTTACCTCAAGCTGATGTTTCCTCTATTGTTCAAGATTGTCTTTTTGTGTTGAATTCTGTTTTTATCGTAACAAAATTCAGATAAAAACATGACTCGTGTGTGTGTGAGTCATATTTATTGTTTAATGCCTGTTTTTATATTAATATTGTTAATCTATGAAAATGTGTTTCCTGCAACCTTTTCTCAAAATGTGTACATAATAAAGTGTTTTAAACGTGTAAAACACATGGTCATAAAGTCACCTGTGTGTGTGTGTGTGTGTGTGTGTGTGTGTGTGTGTGTGTGTGTGTGTGTGTGTGTGTGTGCGCATGTGCTCTGTCTTCTCAATCCCAAGTGGTTCATGGCGGATGGCTCCAGGATTCTTTGCAAGTTTCTTCCTGTTACATGAAAAATTGGATGACTCTAAACTTTCTGCTTTTAAATCAAGACTGAAGTTCTCATTATTGGACCGGAACTTCAGAAAAGGAAATTGTTTAGCCAATCTTCTGACCTGAACAGCATTAAATTAGTCTCTGAGAACAAAGTAAGGAACGTTAGTGTCTTCGACCAGGACTCTCACGTTAAACTGGTTTGTAGGATTTTCTTTTTTCACCTTTGGAATATTGCTAAGATTAGAAGCATCCTTTCCAGGAGTGATGCTGAAAAACTAGTTCATGCATTTATTACATCAAGACTGGATTACTGTAATTCATTACTCTCAGGAAGTCCACAGAATGAAGTTAAAAGTATTCAGCTTGTCCAAAATGCTGCAGCTAGAGTTCTGATGAGAATTAAAAAGAGATCATAACTCTCCTGTCTTAGCTTCCCTACACTGGCTGCTTGTTAACTTCAGAATAGATTTTAAGATCCTCCTTCTCACATATAAAGCTCCATCATACATCAGTGACCTGATTGTTCCATACGTTCCTAACCGAGCACGTTGCTCTCAGTATGCAGGTTTACTGGTGGTTCCCAGCATATCTAAAAATAGGATGGAAGGCAGATCTTTTAGCCATCAGGCTCCTCTCCTGTAGAACCAGCTCCCAGCTTTAGTCCGTGAGGCAGACACCTTGTCTACTTTTAAGACTAGACTTAAATCATTTTTATTTGATAGGGCCTATTTAATATCAATGGAAACTTCAGGGTTAATGTTACAAACCCTGATGTTGTTAGACATTGTGGTAGAGGGGTAACATACAAACTGGTGCGGAGAAAGGGGGAGTGTGAATAAAATGTATTTTTATTAACACAGGGCTAACACAATTACTCAGTCCTTGACTGGAAAAATGTCAAAACGCAATTACACTCGGAAATAACTAACGCAGGCGATGGAGGAAACCCTAAACACCTGAGACAAACGGTCTCAGGGAAGAAAACACGAGAATATCGGTACTAACAAAAAAACATCATGATCATTCATATCTGTTTAAACCCTCTGGTATTCTGTCTTTTAATCGTTCCTGACACACTCCACTCATCGTTTGCTGCGGTGATTTCACCTCACTGACTGTTACGACCCCAACCTGGTCTAGGAGCCAGGGAGGTCTAACACAGAAATGTGAGAAATTAAAGGAAATGATCTGACACCAAGTAACAATCAAAGAAAGTCCTTTTATTAACCAAAAGCGTCCCAACGGGAGAAAAACCTGTTTAACTAAAAGGGGAGTTTAACTTATGCTGCTGGAGACAAAACTGAGGACTAAGTAACTTAATAGAGTGATTAAATGAGGAACAACAGAAACTTGCCCGGAGGCCTTACCAAAAGTCCACTGGTGACTAACTCACCCACACTACCGTCAGCTCTGTTAAGAGCTAAGGGGAAAGCAAACATCAGCCTGAAAGTTTTCCCAAGCAGGTGGAAATTAACCATCCGGGGGCAACTATGTGTTCCCAAAAGTTCTCAACCACAGGTCTCCTTTTAATCCTCTCCTCTCCAGTCCTCTCTCTCTGCGTTCTCTCTCTGTGCATTCTCCTCTCGCTCTCCTCTCTCCGTCTCCTCTGCCTTCCCTCTCTTCTCTGTGCATCTGTGCCTCCTCTGCCTTCCCTCGCTCTCCTCCGTCTGAGCAGCGCTGATCTTTATTCGCTCCAGCTGGGTGATTCCTGATGGGCGTCAGCTGCGTGAGTGAAGCCAGGGAGCCGGGCGCTCTCCATGGTCCTGGAAATGGTGCAGGAAACGGTGCAGAGTAGAAACTGAGTGCCGGGGAACTCAGGGTTCGTAACACTGACGCAGCATCGAGACGCGCACTACGCTTTGCGGTCAGGAGATTCCTTTGATCTGCTTAGTTCAAAAGTAACTGATGAGTTGAAAAAGTAAGAATCCAGGCAGCAGTTTTTCTGGAGAGTTTAGAGGAGATGCAGGAAGATGAGAGACAGACAGGACAGGAAATAGTTAAATAAAAACAAGAAAACAAAGCAAAGTGCTGAAAAGTAAAATGTAGATAGATTTATCTCCACTACACGTTTTTACCTGTATAAAACAATAAGTTACACACATGTAATATTTATACATCTGATACAATTCAGATCACCTTCAAAACTCAGACAAACCCAGGGCCGTTTCAAGGCATTTTGGGGGGCCAAGGCAAAACAGAACACCCCTCACCCCTATAACTGGGCTCCCCAGAAGTTATACAGTGTTTGTAAAACCATCTCAGACATCGTGTCTGTGAAGGTTCTCAGTCATCTAGGTCATTGTAGTCTAAGGAGTGTTGAAAGAAAAGCGTCTGGACTTCTTTGAGTTGCTTGAAGACGTTTCACCTCTCATCCGAGAACATTCACATTTTGGACAGAGAAGACAGATGGTTTGAAAGAGGAGTAAAGGAAGCCATTTATGTCCACTGTGAGCAACCATCTTTGAACAGAGGCGGTGGTTTACGACACCAACTGTCTGCCATCTATAATCCAGTTTTGAGATCCCTTCGCAGATGCCTCAATGCCCACGCATATCCTGGGCCATATGACCTCAGGAATTCACATGATAGGGTGGGGCCAGGCTTCACAATGAGCTCACCCGAAACTCTGGCAGAATAGAACCCACATCCACCCTCACACCTTAGCTCATGTGTTTATGTAGAAGATCATCAGGGGGTCTTTTGTTCCCTCTTCGGGGGGAAACTCCCACTGGGCTTGAATCTGGGACCCTCCACCATTTGACCTTAGAACTGAAGAAGCCTCTTGGATGAGAGGTGAAACGTCTTCAAGCAACTCAAAGAAGTCCAGACGCTTTTCTTTCAAAGCTCCTTAGACCATCTCAGACATCACTGACAGCTTCTAATATTGTCAGACGAAAAACAAAGTTGTCGGACACGCTGTCATCGGTTTCTTTTCTAAACTCACAAACATCTGTCAGTAACAAAAGCATCTGAAAGCCTCTATTTGTGGATTCTCTGAAAGTTTCCATGGAGTCCATGACAAACTGTTTCATCATTGATCCTATCGTCTAATCTCACAGCTGAAACAAGCATCCTTAATAATCTGTGCACATGAAGCGTACAGATGCTGTAATAAAACAAAAGGTATAATAATTTCTTATTCATAAAATGTTGTTGCAGCACTTAAGCAGCAGAAAAATGAGATTTTGCAGTAAATATGCAAAATATTTACACATGAATTGTTTTAGAGCCATTTTGTTGGCAGAATCTGATTTTAATTTTAGCTCTTCACCTGGGAAAAAAGGGTCCCAACGTGGTTTGTGTGGCGTTGCCATAGTGTGATGTCATCAGTAGGCACTAGGGCCTGCACGACTTTATTTTTTTTAAAGTCGACAGTCAAGTAATGAAAGTCGAGTCGACTTCGTCTAGTCGTTGATGACGTCATACGCCGGAAGCGAGGGGGGGGGGTGGTCGGTCGGTAGGTTCGCTGGAGTTTTTGACAATTAAAATTGCGCCCACATTTTCTAAGTTAACACATCTCTTTTAACAACGGTAGTTTCTGCATCCTACTTCAGTCCTCTCCCCCCTCCCCCTGCGCAGTAGCCGCAAACTCACTGATGGCCTGCAGCCTTTCCTGCTGCTCTAAACATTAAAATAATTATTTCATTTTCTGTTCCTCACTTCTGATTACCTTCAGTGGTGTAACATACACCGTGTATGTTTGTTGCATCCACCAGGTACAAAAACGAACGTGTTTTTATTTGACTATTTTTCTGTTCTGCCTGTTTATCTTCCTGCATCTCCTCTCAATCCTAAAGAAAAACTGCTACCTGCGTTCATATATATTCACCCTATGAGTTACCTTTGAACTGCAGTTCTAAAAGATCTACCGACCGCAAAAACAGCGGAGTGCCGCTGCTCGCCGGCCGACTACAACGGGACCGTTTTTGCTGCGGAGTTCATGCCGGAGCGGAGCAGAGATAGTGGAATCTTGGGGGTGCGTCACCGGAGAACAAAACAGGTGAAGAGCCTCGCTCCGCTGCAGCGAAATGCATCAGGCACAAATAACAGACAGAAAACATGAAAGGAAATGAGCCGACATGAACGATCGAGTGTTTAATTTGTTTTTGAGGTGGTGACACCTGATTTGGCGGTGCTCAGGACGCAATGTCTGGAGCGCGTCAACGATCAGAGCTTCGCATGCACAAACTGGTTAAGATTAGGATGGGGGTGAGGGGAAGGTTAAATTGCAAGAGGGAAAAGGTCACAGTTTGGTTAAATGTCCGTTTTACCGCCGGTGTCAGTACCGCACAGCACGTCACCTCCGCCTCGATCCAGACGCGCAGGGGCTCATCACCTGCTGTCTTTTCCGAGGACTGCATCTTGTCAGTCATTATCACGTGACAGCGACTAGTTGATGACAGGCATAAAAAGTCACTACAGAGCCGTGAAGTCGACTAGTCGACTAGTTCGTACAACCCCTAGTAGGCACAGATCTCCTGTCCTCTTTTTTG